AGACAAACCAGAAAAGCCAGAGAGAAAACCTATAGTCAACCCAACCTTCTTGAAGTTCTTTGCCTGGATTGCTTTATTCATTCTCATTAAAAACTTTACTAAAATTCGATGGCCCCTATCGGGGTCACTACACACGAAGGTTAAGATGCAGTGAGCCCAAATGCGAAGCCGCCGACGCTGGCTCGCTCCTGCCCTGCACTTCGGACCCGGGAGAATGACCCACTGAGCTGGGTGCCCGAAGGGTCATGGGAAGATGCCAGCGTCTCTGCGCGTCTGGCCGCTGGCCGCCAGGAGGAAGCCGCGACCCATTTGGCGTGTCCTGTGTGCTCCTGCTACCTCTGCCGCCCCGGGAGACGAGGCTTCCTGGGGCAGTCACGGAGAAAGGGAGATCGGCTGCTGTTTTTCTTTCTCGTCCGGGTGGCTGGCCAAACAGAGAAGGTAAAGGTGACTCAGTTTTTTCTCTAACACCTAATAAAGCTGGCGGCAACGAGAAGTCGGGTTCTCAGCGAGTGGCCTTCACCAGCCTTTCTTGTTCACAACTGCAGGCTGCCGACCAGGGCTGCTCTGCAGGCAGGTGAGGCCACGCCTGGCCACCCACAGGGCAGGTGGGTGCCAGTGAGGGTCGTCAGGGAAACGGACACAAACCACAAGGCTCTGGACATCACCAGAGACTGAGAGATTTGGACGATTGATGTTTCTGATAATCTAGACCTTGTTCACTTGGCTCAACATGATAAGAAAAAAACCTGAATGTCTGCCAGTCGCTGGCTGGTTTCATCATGGTCCGACTGAACTTCACAGCCGATTCTGTGAAGTTAGCTTTTGTCCTCAGCTCTCCGGAATGTGTTACAAGGGCCCCCGGGGCCTTTGGGAGACATAAGCTGAGACAGCAAAGGCACGCGTCAGCATCTGCCAAAGCGACCGGGAAGCGGCCAGCTTGACGTGGGTCAGGCCCGGGGCAGGGGGGCTTGACTTGGCATCAAATGAGAAGTTACAGACACCAGGGCCTGAGGGGCACCCTGACCTCTGGGGGGTGAAGGCACCTTTGCTGAGCAGGCCGGGGGCCCTGTCCCCACAGAGCTGCAGCTTCCCAAGGGCACAGTGCGTGGGGTCCTCTTTCCACTGACATCACGGTCAGCATGGCTGCCTCTTCCGGAAGCCGGCAGGGCGTGAGGGTGGGGAACCCTGATTCGGGCTCCAAGCTAGAGCACCGAAGGCACTGCTCGTTCCCTGATGGTGGAAACGAACGGACACAACACCGCTCGATGGAACACGGACCCGCCACACAAGACACGTGCTTTTTGTGACAGGATACACGGATGCCTACTTACACACTTTTCTAAGTTGTAGCAGGTGCCTGAAAAAGCTTGAAAATTTTAACAAAAAGTTCAAATGGTAAAAAAAAATGGACCTATCCAATCTCTTGGGTGCTGAAACCTAAAGAACACCTGTGATTTATTAAATCCCAGTAATGAGCGCTTTAAAAACATGCACTTTATCTGAGACGTAGAAACTGTCGCTGGCCATCTTTTGTTTTTTATTTTCTATTACACAATACATGAAGCCATTCTTGTTGCAAAAATTCAAACAGCACAGGTAAGGCGAAGTCCCTCTTGAAATCTAGTCTCCGTACAAAAGCCTCGATGTGTGGGTTGGCAGCGCGTGGGGAGCGTGGGTGCTACACCAGATGATCTGCTGGTTCACAGAAGGGGCGTGTGGCACGGGACTCCCGTCACCAAGAGGTGAGACTGATGGGGAGGGCCCAGAGATGGGACTGTGGCTGGCGCCCCAGCAGGGTCCTCCCCAGACTCTCTGTGCCGGCACGTCACACCGGCTCCCCTTGGGGCCACATGCGTCTCTCCGGTGGGCTGCCACTGCTGCGACCACCCTCCTCCTGACATGGGCAGCCGGGCAGCCCGCTGAGAGCTGCTGGAGCTTGTGATGACCCTTTTCAGATTCTGTTCTCGTTTTATGCACGTGCCGTCTTGCATTGAAAGCTGCACCGAGCGAGCTCCAGGCATAAGGAAGGGGACGCTGCAGGTATTGGCATAACATTAGAATAATGAGTCCACACAGGAAACATTTTTCTTTCACGAGTGCAGACGCGACTCACATTTGAGAAACCCTGAGGAAGCAGATATGTCACTGAAGATGACACCAGGGCACATGGCAGGAGGTGGAAGGCCAGGGCCAGGCCAAGACCTGTGTCACTGCAGAGCCTGCAGGTAACCTTGCCAGAACCCACCTGCTACCTGAGGCCTGGGTTAGAGTGCCAGGTTCTGTCCAGCCCTTGTCCAAATGGAAAACAGAAGCAAAGCCATCGTCAGTCAGGTTCCTTCATTAGCCACAGCAGACCAATCGTTCGTATTTAGCAATAAACCACGAACGTGTATCACAGATCGCCATGGCATAAAAGGGAACAACAGCATGAAGCAGGTGACCCAGCAGGCGCGGCCTTGCACGCTGGCTCTTGGCTTCTGCAAGTGCCTCGCGGGAATGAGGATGGTCGGTTAAACGCCCAGGAGCAAAATGGTCGTAAAATGGTCGCCCACAAACCAGCCATTTCCACTCACCAGTATGAAACTCTGAACTCGTAACCAAGTGTCATTTCTGACAAATTTGCACAAGGAATCCAAATCTAAGAGCTATAATGTGGGGAACGCTGGTGACGTGTGTGATCGGCAAACCTGACCAGGGTCCTCGTCCTCTGGAGGCCTGGCCGACCCCCACGAGAAGACAGCTGACTATGGGATCACGCCTTTGTCTTCCGTGTGATGAATTCAGGGACAGCTGTTGGGAGACACTCCGCATCAGCTGGGCCACACGCAGACGAGGGGTCTCTCCCAGACTGTCACACCGGCCAGGAGGAGCTGTGACGACGCGCTCCGCCCTGGGGGTCCCCAGGCGCAGGAAAGAGTCCTTGTTCCATCGCTGCCTCCTGGAAACAGCCGCGTGGTGTCGGCCACCATCTGCCGACTGCTGGGCTCAGCAGCATCCTCCCTGCTGCCACTAATGCTTGTGGAAAAGAGTCAGCAGCCACCACGCCCAGTCTACGGCGCACCTACGCCGAGTGCACTAATGCGACAAATGACATTTTACTCCATGGCGTGACTGCAGGTGAACAAGGTGTGCTGACTTTACGTTCAGTGTCCAGGTCTGAAAAGAATTCTGTGGATGAGCTCCGCCAGCTGTGGATGAGCTCCGCCAGCTGTGGATGAGCTCCGCCAGCTCCCGTAGGGGCATCAGTTGGACCACCTAGAACACAAGCAATGATTGAGTGTCCCGCCAACTGCTTCTTCTGAGCCACCCGCAGGGCAGTGAGTC